AGTCAATCGTTGGATGTCCAGGCATTGGAGCGCAGCGGTATACGGACGTTGTTGCAAAATGTAAAAGAAAATTAAAATATAAAGATTTTATTTAGATATTTATAAAGATTTTATAAATAGAAAAAATATTCTCGATCTTTGAAAAATATTATCTATTAAATTATGAATATTATCTAAATAAATTATTTAAATAAAATTACGAAATTATAAGAACATTTGCAGTCAATTAAGAAAATAGCTAACTTTTTTGAAAAATAATCACGATTTTTTACAATAATTTTTGATATTTTTTCAAGGTACATATTGAATATACAAATTTTTCTTGTTCAGAGACTCACAATGAAATTTGATGTAGAAAAATTCTTCCTTTAAGACTATCCTCGAAAAATGAAGTTTAAAGGCAAATTTTGACTTACATTGGTAACGTGTTAAACTAACCGTAAAAAAATTAAACTCAAAATTTTCACTTGTAGTACACAATTTAGAATATTATTTTCTTGAAAATTATTGTACTTAGATATATGGTTCATTCTGAGATCTATAGTGAAATTTTGTGTAGATTACTTCTTCTTTTGATATATTTTGTCTAAAATGAAATTTATGCTACTTTCAGGCGTCAACTCGAAAAGAGGCCGAGGAAAGATTGATCATTAAAATTAGAGCATATTTATATATTAATATTGAGGCATATATTTTTTTGATATACAATGGAAATTGAGATTCCCTTTCTTTGGCGACTTTTAGTGAAATTTTATAAGGAACATTTTTGTCTTTAACAGTTTCCTTCTAAAGTGAAGTATTACCGCAGATTTTGGCTTAGAATGAAAACATTTGAAATAAGCAGCAAAAAACGTAAACACATAATTTTCACTTGTAGTACATGAATTTCGAATCTAATTTTCTTAAAAAATATTGTACACAGGTTTATGGTTTATTTTGAGATCTAAAGTGAAATTTTGTGTAGATTATTTCTTCTTTTGGTATCTTTTGTCTAAAATGAAATTTTATGTTATTTGTAGAGTTCAACTCGAAAAAAATTCAGAGAAAAATTGATCAAAAGAATTTTGACATTTTTAGGTTTTTTTTTTATTTTTGAGGATAATATTTTTTTGATATGCAGCGGAAATAGAGATTTCTTTTCGTTGAGGACTTATAGTGAAATTTTATGAAGAATATGTTTGTCTTTAAAGTCTTCCTTCTAAAGTGAAGTATTACCGCAGATTTTGGCATAGAATGAAAACATCTTAAATAAGCAGTAAAAAAACTAAAACTCATAATTTTCACTTGCAGTGCATACATTTCGAATGTAATTTTATTTTGAGATTTATAGTGAAATTTTGTGTAGATTATTTCTTCTTTTGGTATCTTTTGTCTAAAATGAAATTTTATGTTACTTCTAGGCGACAACTCAAAAAAAGGCCAAGGAAAAAATTGTTAAGAAAATAATTTTTGCGTTTTTTGGGAACATTGATTGAAATATTTTCTGATATGCAGTGGAAATAGAGATTTCTTTTCTTTGGTGACTTCTATTGAAATTTGATGAAGAATATTTTTGTCTTTAACAGCTTCCTTCTAAGTATTACCGCAGATTTTGGCTTAGAACGAAAACATCTGAAATAAGCAGCAAAAAACGTAAACACACAATTTTCACTTGTAGTACATAAATTTCGAATGTAATTTTCTTAGAAACTATTGTACGTAGATTTATAGTTCATTCTGAGGTCAATAGTGAAAATTTGTGTAGATTATTTCTTCTTTTGGTATCTTTTGTCTAAAACGAAATTTTATTCTACTTTTAGGCGTCAACTCGAAAAAAGTCTGGGAAAATTTTTCAAAAGAATTTTAAGAAATTTTTAAAGTTTTTTTGGGACTTTTGAGGATAATATTTTTTTGATATGCGGTGGAAATAGAGATTTCTTTTCGTTGATGACTTATGGTGAAATTTGATGAAGAATATTTTTGTCTTTGAAGTCTTCCTTCTAAAGTGAAATATTAAGACAGACTTTGGCTTAGAATGAAAGTATCTGAAATAAGCAGCAAAAAACGTAAACACATAATTTTCACTTGTAGTACACGCATTTCGAATCTAATTTTCTTAGAAAATATTGTACCCAGGTTTATGGCTCATTTCGAGATCTATAGTGAAATTTTGTGTAGATTATTCCTTCTTTTGGTATCTTCTGTCTAAAATGAAATTTTATGTTACTTTTAGGCGACAACTCAAAAAAAAAGCCGAGGAAAAATTGTTAAGAAAAATTGGAAACAATTTTTGCGTTTTTTGGGAACATTGTTTCAAATATTTTTCAGATATGCAGTGGAAATTGAGATTTCTTTTCTTTGGTAACTTCTAGTGAAATTTGATAAGGAACATTTTTGTCTTTAACCGCTTGCTCCTAAAGTGAACTATTGAGACAGATTTTGGCTTGGAATGAAAACATCTTAATTTAGCAGTAAAAAATGTACACATAATTTTCATTGAAAGTACATAAATTTCGATAATTAATTTTCTTAATGCCAACTGTACCTAGACAAAGGGTTTATTCTGAAGTTTATACTGAAATGTTGTGTAGAATATTCATTCTATTAAGACCTTTTGCGTAAAACGAAATTTTATGTTACTTTTAGGCGTCAACTAGAAAGAAGTCTGAGAAAAAATTGATCATTAAAATTAGGAAATATTTTCGATTTTTTTTTTGGGAACATTGATGTATATATTTTCTTGGTATGCAGTGGAAAGAGAGATTTCTTTTCGTTGATGACTTTGAGGGAAATTTGATGAAGAATATTTATGTCTTTGACATAATCCATCGAAAACGATGTTTTGTAGGAGATTTTTGCTTAAACTCGCATAAATTGCGGCCTTAACCCTAAAATGTGTATTTCTAATTCTTTTGAATTCCTGATGTTTTAGTTTTAGTTTTTAGCGATATTTTCAAAAAAGTACCAAAAAGACCCATTTGTTGACTCGTTTGAGGGTTAAGATTGTCTAACAAAATATTCCTCGTATTGTTAGCTCTAATATTGCCAGAGACACTATATACCTAAAATCAAGCGATTCCAGGGAATCTTAAGTTGAAATTTTGCAAAAAATGTGGAAGAGGGGGGGACCCTCGCCCCCTATATTTAAGTTACTTTGCGTTGTAAATTTTCAAAACGTCAATACACGTGTCTTCTTTTTTTAGCTCTACTTTCAAAATATGCTGAATTTTCCCTTCCCCACAGCTGGTTATTTAAAAAAAAAAAAAAAATATATATATATATATATATATATATATATATATATATATATATATATATATATATATATATATATTTTTTTTTTTTTTTTTTTTTTTTTTTGAAAAAAATCATTTTTTTTTCTTTTAAATATATTTTTAAAAAATTTACATTTATTTTTGTGCACTTTTTAAAAAATATATATTTATATTTTTTAAAAAAATCAAATAAAAAATCTAATAAGGGTTATTTAAAAATATTTTTTTTTTTGAAAAAATCAATTTTTTTTCTTTTAAATATATTTTAAAAAAAATTACATTTATTTTTGGCACTTTTTAAAAATATGTATTTATATTTTTTAAAAAATCTAATAATGTTTATTTAAAAATATTTTTTTTTTTTTGAAAAAAAACATCATTTTTTTTTTCTTTTAAATATATTTTTTAAAAATTTCATTTATTTTTGGCACTTTTTAAAAAATATATATTTATATTTTTTAAAAAAATCAAATAAAAAATCTAAAAATGGTTATTAAAAAATATTTTTTTTTGAAAAAAAAATCAATTTTTTTTTCTTTTAAATATATTTTTAAAAAAAATTACATTTATTTTTGGCACTTTTAAAAAAATATATTTATATTTTTTAAAAAAATCAAATAAAAAATCTAATAATGGTTATTTAAAAATATATTTTTTTTTTGAAAAATTATTTTTTTTTTCTTTTAAATATATTTTTAAAAAATTTACATTTATTTTTGGCACTTTTTAAATAAAATATATTTATATTTAAAAAAAAATCAAATAAAAAGTCTAATAATGGTTATTTAAAAATATTTTTTTTTAAATCAATTTTTTTTCTTCTAAATATATTTTTAAAAAAATTACATTTATTTTCGGCACTTTTTAAAAAAATATATTTATATTTTTTAAAAAATTCTAATAAAAAATCTAAAAATGGTTATTTAAAAATATTTTTTTTTTTTTGTTTGAAAAAAATCAATTTTTTTTATCTTTTAAATATATTTTTAGAAAAAAATTACATTTATTTTTGGCATTTTAAAAAAAAATATATATTTATATTTTTTAAAAAAATCAAATAAAAATTCTAATAATGGTTATTTAAAAATATTTTTTTTTTTTTTTTGAAAAAAATCATTTTTTTTCTTTTAAATATATTTTTAAATATATTTAAAAAAAATATATTTATATTTTTTAAAAAATCTAAAAATGGTTATTTAAAAATATTTTTTTTTTTTGAAAAAAATCAATTTTTTTCTTTTAAATATATTTTTTAAAAAAAATACATTTATTTTCGGCACTTTTTTAAAAAATATAATTATATTTAAAAAAAAAATCTAATAAAAAATCTAATTATGGTTATTTAAAAACATTTTTTTTTGTTTGAAAAAAATCCATTTTTTTTCTTTTAAATATATTTTTAAAAAATTTACATTTATTTTTGGTACTTTTTAAAAAATATATTTATATTTTTTAAAAAAATGAAATAAAAAATCTAATAATGGTTATTTAAAAATATTTTTTTTTTTGGAAAAAAAATCCAGTTTTTTTCTTTTAAATATATTTTTAAAAAAATTACATTTATTTTTGGCACTTTTAAAAAAATATATATTTATATTTTTTACAAAAATCAAATAAAAAATTTAATAATTTATTATTGGCCCTTTTTAAAAAATATATATTTTTTAAGAAATCCAAGAAATGTTGTTAGTAATTTTTTATTAACATTTTCTCCCTTTCTCTCTCTCTCTCTTTCTATTTTTACAGCGTGTGGCGGCGCATCAACAGCAGTTGGCGGTACAAAGTGAGTTCAATTGTTTTCCTATTCAATATTTTTTCCGTTTTTTTTTATTTATTTCAGTATTTTTGTTTAATTATTTGTTTTGTTATCTATCGGAGTTGTTTTTTTTTGTGAATATGTGTCTATTTATTTAATAAGCAAAAGCAAGTACCAAATGTTAGCACAACAAACAACAACAACAACAATTGTTGTTGTTGTTTTAGTATTTTTTATTGTCATATTTATTTGTTTTATTTGAAATTTCAATTTTTTTATTTTTCAAAATACCTCTTCTAAACAACTACCAATTCAAATAAGCCTTGACATTGACAAGAAGAGAAGGGATTTTGCAAATACTCGACTCAAGTGGCGACTGTCAATATGGCAATCGAATAATATTGAAATATTGTATTGAAATACCTATTTCGGGGGGATACCGATATTTTATATAAAATTATGTCATGAGAAAAAAAATAAAAAAAATTATAAATATTAAAAAAAATATTTAAATATATTTTTAATATTTTTTCTTTAAAAAAAAAAAAAAATAAATAAAATAAATCCGAGAATAATTTCCCTTACATTGTATTTTTGCAAAAATAATAATAATAACAATTTCTTATTAATTATATCAACACGCAAAATCAGCCGCAATTTATGACCACAATAACAACAATCATTTCCAATGCAGTTTTCAAAACCGCAAACTACAATTTTTGCCAAGCAAACAGCCGGCAGCTGTCACCACAGATGGCGGCCTATCAAATCTTCTGCTCACAATTATTTTCAATACTCTTCCTATTCTGTTCCCCGCTGGCCCTGATTCCATTTCCATTTTTTTTAATTTTTATTTTATTTTAATTTTTTTTTGAATTTCAGTTCTAATATTTTTGTTTTTATTTTAATTTTTTTCTTTTTCTTTTATTATTTTTTGAGTTTTTTTTTTCATATTTTTTCTTAAATATATGGCCATTTGGCAAACCATAACCCCATCCATAAATTTTGCAAATGTTTGCTCTTCCTCTCCTTTTTTTGGGTTTTAGTGTTTTGTTGTTCCGTCTTCTATTGTCGGTCTGGCCGGTAGGCTGCCAGTGGTCGTTCAAAAACAGGATAAAGTAATGCGCAATAAGTTCTTCTTTGAAATGCATTTTAAATTATCAGCCGCAAAAAAATTGCAACGGGTGGTGGTGGTTGCTTCGTGATAAAACTGAATTTCAGGGGATATATTTATGTATTTCTAAACGATACATACATAAATACATATGGATGTTTTAAAATTTCATCGGAATGCACTGTACAAAAATCTGACAATAGGAGAGCTCAAGCTCTCCCATAGAGCTCACCTATAGACGAATAGGTGAGCTTCAGCTCACCTGTAGACGAATAGGTGAGCTTCAGCTCTCCTATAGACAATAAGAGACCTCAAGCTCTCCTATAGACAATTGGAGACCTCAAGCTCTCCTATAGACAATAGGAGACCTCAAGCTCTCCTATAGACAATAGGAGACCTCAAGCTCTCCTATAGACAATTGGAGACCTCAAGCTCGCCTATCGACAATAGGAGAGCTCTCAAGCTCGCCTATCGACAATAGGAGAGCTCTCAAGCTCTCCTATAGACAATAGGAGACCTCAAGCTCTCCTATAGACAATAGGAGACCTCAAGCTCGCCTATCGACAATAGGAGAGCTCTCAAGCTCTCCTATAGACAATAAGAGACCTCAAGCTCGCCTATCGACAATAGGAGAGCTCTCAAGCTCTCCTATAGACAATAGGAGACCTCAAGCTTGCCTATCGACAATAGGAGAGCTCTCAAGCTCTCCTATAGACAATAGGAGACCTCAAGCTCGCCTATCGACAATAGGAGAGCTCTCAAGCTCTCCTGTAGACAATAGGAGACCTCAAGCTCGCCTATCGACAATAGGAGAGCTCTCAAGCTCTCCTATAGTCAATAGGAGACCTCAAGCTCGCCTATCGACAATAGGAGACCTCAAGCTCGCCTATCGACAATAGGAGAGCTCTCAAGCTCTCCTATAGACAATAGGAGAGCTCTCAAGCTCTCCTATAGACAATAGGAGACCTCAAGCTCTCCTATAGAGTATAGGAGACCTCAAGCTCTCCTATAGAGTATAGGAGACCTCAAGCTCTCCTATAGAGTATTGGAGACCTCAAGCTCTCCTATAGAGTATAGGAGACCTCAAGCTCTCCTATAGAGTATAGGAGACCTCAAGCTCTCCTATAGAGTATAGGAGACCTCAAGCTCTCCTATAGAGTATAGGAGACCTCAAGCTCTCCTATAGAGTATAGGAGACCTCAAGCTCTCCTATAGAGTATAGGAGACCTCAAGCTTTCCTATAGAGTATAGGAGACCTCAAGCTCTCCTATAGAGTATAGGAGACCTCAAGCTCTCCTATAGAGTATAGGAGACCTCAAGCTCTCCTATAGAGTATAGGAGACCTCAAGCTCTCCTATAGAGTATAGGAGACATCAAGCTCTCCTATGGACTATAGAAGACCTCAAGTTTTCCTATGGACTATAGGAGACCTCAAGGCCTTCTGTAGAGAAAACCCCAAAGTCTCCTATAGAGGAGACCTCAAAGTCTCCTATAGAGGAGACCTCAAGGTCTCCTATAGAGGAGACCTCAAAGTCTCCTATAGAGGAGACCTCAAAGTCTTCTATAGAGGAGACCCCAAAGTCTCCTATAGAGGAGACCTCAAGCTCTACTATAGAGGAGACCTCAAGCTCTACTATAGAACACAGGAAACCTCAAAGTCTGTTATAGAGGAGACCTCAAAGTCTCCTATAGAGGAGATCTCAAAGTCTCCTATAGAGGAGACCTTAAAGTCTCCCATAGAGGAGACCTTAAAGTCTCCCGTTAAAGGAACCTCACAGTCTTCCATAGAGAAGGCCTCAAAGTCTACGCTATAGGAAATCTAGATCTGATTTCCCATAACCCAAGGAACGCTTTGACCTTTTTTAATCTAAAAATATGTCCATAATTTCTGTTTTTTTTCTCTCTGTGTAATGTTAATCTCCTCCCCTGAAGTTATTACTTCTATCCGACACCTCAACTCCAGAACTTATGTTGTTACACACCACACCACGTCACACCAACACCAACTAACCTTGTGTTGACCTTGAATTAAAGCGAAAATATATTGCGCATTGAGAAAATATATAACAAACACAACATTAACAACATGTTCTCTCTGTGTGCCTCTCTCTCTCTCTGTCGCCTCTCGTAGTAATGCAACAAAACAAACAACATCAACAACAATGAAATGCATTGTTCTGCTGTTGAGAATGTGGGGCGTGTTGTGTGCGACTGAGTTGTTGCTGTGGTGGTGGTGGTGGTGGTGGTGGTGACGAGTTCGAGTGATGGTGATTTGACGGATGGTGGAGTGGTTGAATGGAAAACATGCCGGCTTTGTTGAGTCGTTCCCATTGTGTTGTGCTGTTATTCGGCGTCTCGTGTTTATGGTAATGTTGTTGATATTGCTGTTGTTGTTCTCATTTGTGTTTGAGCGGAGGGAGTTCTTGGAGAACGAAAATATTGCGTTGCGAATTTTGGTTTGTTTACATTTTTTTGCAAATAGCTACTTTTTCCGCTATTCTTTTGTCTCAGTGATTTTTTTGTTGGTTCTTCGTCATTACATTTGTTTGGTTAAGGGAATATATTTGGCTTCACCATTGCTTTTTTGGCGATTCAAAACATTAAAAAATTGTTGGAATCTTCAAAAAAAAAAAAAAAATAAATAAATAAATAAAATAAATAAATAAATAAATAAAAAATTCGAATAATTCTCGTCTTTGGGAGAGCTTAAAAAATATTTTAAAAACCAACTTCTTTGGTGGAATTTGAAAAACAAAAATATTCTTTTAAAAGTCCTCTTCTATGATGTGCCATAAATATTTTAAAAATCCGAAATAAATCTATTTGCTGGCGCTTAAAAATATTTTTTTTTATAAAATGGAGCTGAAACCAAATATTTTATTTTTAAAATACATGTATGATGGTCTCAAGAGACATATACATATATTTTTAAATCCCGGTCTATGACGGGTCTTTGAGAACATAATTAACAAGATAAATAGTATCAGTCGGTCTTGCCGGCAGATGTAAAGCCTCATCCAATGTTCGATTATTTAAATATATTTTGACTTATGTTATGATTATTCAAATTGTTGACCCTCTATGGAGTAGGTTCCAAAGTAATGGGCCAATATTATACTTTTCGTATTGGACCTAAATATATATGACATAAATATTTTGACTTGCCAGGTTTGGACTATATCGACTACTTCACTTCACTTTTTATGAAATATATGATAATATTTAGGAAATGTTGTAAAGAATTGCTGAATTGTTCCGCAAGTTATGACAGATAAAAGCATTGAAAATTATCAACCTTTGTGGGTGAGGTACCAGAAGAATTTGACCGATATATCCTATCTTCACACCAGACCTTGGATTAATAAAAATATTATGATGTGTGTAATTTGAAGAGAACCGGGTGCTTATTTTGGATTTTATAATCGTTTTGGTTATTCCAAACTTTGACCCTTTGTGGGGGAGGTACCACAAGGAATGGTCCAATCTCTACCATCTTTATAACAGATCTTGTGTTGATGGAAATATTGAGATGTAGCAAGTCTGAATGAAATCGGATATTAATTTCGCGTTTTATGACCTTCATGGATATTCAAAATTTTGATCCTTTTGTGGAAGCGGTACCAGAAGGAGTTGACCGATATGTCCCATCTTCGCACCAGACCTTGGATTAATAAAAATATTATGATGTGTGTAATTTGAAGAGAACCGAGTGCTTATTTTGGATTTTATAATCGTTTTGGTTATTCCAAAATTTGACCCGTTGTGGGGGAGGTACCAGAAGAAATGGTCCGATCTCTACCATCTTTATAACGGATCTTGTGTTGATAGAAATGTTGAGATGTGCCAAGTCTGTATGGAATCGGATGTTAAATTCGCGTTTAATGAGCCTCATGGATATTCAAAATTTTGACCC